AAATAAGACTTCAAAATGCAAATATACCTTCTAATTTGGAATAAACTTGCACCACATACACGTACAGCACGAAGGGCCCATTTACAATTAGCATCAACACACACGACATGATAGGATGTCTTTGTTGAAGTTACAGTTCTGAACTGGAAGTTATTAACAATGGAAAACATTTGCAAATGATGCTGAAGGTCCATCTTTGACTTGTATATGCAATCCATGCGAATAGTTGTTGGATGGTAATGAGAAATAACAACAGTAGGTGTGGATTCCACTGACACAGAATCTGTGCTTTCAGCAATACAGACATCTTCACTTGATAAGGACAGAGGCTGTGTGAATTGGGTAAGAAGAAGACTCTGGGAAGTACCAACAGAAGGAACAAGAAAAGTGGAAGAAGATGCATCAATTATAGTGCCAAACTCATTAAACTGTGACATTATGACACCCTGTGAACTTGTATTGTTTGTGTCAAATTCGATGCACAATGAAAGCTTCGTAAAATCACACTCAATACACTTCAATTGCATATAAAATTGGAAGCTACTCTCATCATCTATAGTCACAGGAGGAAGAATGGACCCAACAGCGTATGAAACACGAAAATGTTCCTTGCAAATTACACGTTTCAGATGCAACATTAAATCTTAGAATGAGCTGTTATTTGGAATTGGGACTCCAATTGTGTACTTAGAAATAAAAATATTATTAGGAGACCAGTTTCCATCAACATGAACCATGATCCACATCTGGTCTGCCATCAAAGTAAAGGATACAGCTGCAGATGAATAAAAAACATAAGAAAATCTCAGTATATGTTTGGTAGTGAAGACTCCAAATACACTCAATTAACAAAATAGCAGAACACATTCAAAGATGTATGAGAATTATGATTGTAAAATATAAAATGTAATGCAGAAACTAGAATCATAAATCGTAGAGAGTTATGAGAATTCATAAAATCGAAGGTTATGAGAAGAAACTGACCTACTGCAATGGATGTGGCGAATGAGAACTCCAAATTACGAACAGTAAAATCGAAGATGATGGGAGATTGAAAAGCGAATTGAAATTGACACAATAAAGTCGTAGATGATGGGGAATTGAAAAGCGAAATAGAAGAATCAAGAGTGTGTCGCAAGCAACGAAGCAGGGAAGAAGAGTTGCCGCTGGGAAGAAGACGAAGGAAAAAGGCAGAGAGGAAGGATTGCTGAACCGAAGAAAAGAGGAAACAGAGGATTTCAAACTATCGTTTAAGAGGACGGTAATTACTCCTATTTTGGGTATATAATCAATGGACTCTTACATTAGGGTTAAGCTTAATGTTTTACTCCTATTTAGGGGGTTTTCTTAAAATACAATGCACCAAGGATGCTTCACTACCTGTTCCTATTGTTGCTGAAAATCTATTGGGAAAGGATGTTGCAATTCCGACTGATCCCCTACTGCCTGGTCCTGTGGTTGCTGAAAGTTTCCTGGGAAAAGATGTTGCAAGTCCAACTGATCCCGCGCCACCCCTAACTGTTTTTGAGGAAAGCACTGTACTCCACAGCCCCCCCCCCCCCCCCTTCGTCCCTTTACCTGAAGTTGTCCACACACCCGTCCCCTTAATTGCAGATTCAAATGTCCCTGATGCTTGTGATGCACACAGTACACTCCGAAAGGATGTACTAGAGGGCTCACATGACAATTCAGTTTGTGGGGATGATGAAATTATTTCTGACCCAAACATTCCCACTCAAAACCGTTTTGTATTGTTAACTTACCCGATGATTACTGAGATTTCTGAACAGAAGATCAAGAATTGTCAAGAATGACAACAAGAAGATCAAGACCACCCATAATTGAAGGCATCATTATCGACTGTGTGGGAGAACCAAAACTAGAATGCGAGGGATACAACGGGCCATTTCTCTTCCTAGGCCCTCCAGGATCACCGAGGGAAGATGGGAAAAGGCCACGAACAGGTATACCTACCAAAATCTTGCCTCATACCATGGTGAATGTGTGGATTTAATATTGGGCTGCGTCCCTTGTTACTTTGTATCATTTCTCTTTCATTGCTCTACCACTTTTGGGTAGACTCACCCATTTCCTTTTTGGAGCGTTTGCTCCCTCTTGTATGCCTTACTTTCTCTTTAATAAAAACTTGTTTCTTCAAAAAAACAATATATATATATATATATATATATATATATATATATATACTCCAAGGACGAATCTCATCGCAGGGAGGCTTTTACCCTTCGGAAGCAGCAGAGAAGATGGCCATTTAGATCTCCACAAACGCGAGATTTGGGTGACTCATATATATTCAGCAACTCTCGTCTGGCCCTGCATGATGTCAATCAGCCATCCATCTCCGTAGAGCCTAGTCGTAACTCTAGACTCACCATTAAAACCCAGAACAAGAATTTGTGTCAATAGAACTTGGGCTCTCTTCTCTTTTGGTACTAACCGCACCATCGAACTCTCTGCTGGCTCAAATTGTAGAGGAGAATACATTAAAATTCTGGAGAAGAGAAGGGAAGGGAAGAAATTCATATTAATTCCGTCGGGCCATAGACACAATGATTTCAATCTGCTTTACAAGGCTTTGTCTTTCTTCTTGGAGAAGGTCACCAAAGATTCTTCATCTGCACAGGACAAACTGCAGCCTATTACTCTCTCTGAAGGCCTTCCCCTAATTCCATCTCATTCCAAAGACTTGGGAAAAGATTCACTTGGACTTCAATCAAATTTTGGGGAGGAGGAGGGTAACACAATTTCAGAATGTATGGTAGACGCTGGTTCTGGTTTACTTCTAGGTGCTGCAGAGACTCCGCTGAACGCAGAGGTCATCAGGAAAGATGCACAACCTTCTTTTCTCCACAAAGTAGATAGGGGTAAGCAGTTAGATCCTGCCCAAGGCCTAGAAGACAACCACCAACCTTATACAATCCTCTACCCCCGTTGCCAAGATTCAGTCTTTCTCCTTTTGCCAACGAATTCATTCCAACTTTGTCCAATTCCTTTGCAGCACTTTTCAACCAAGGTGTTAGCCTCTTGTCAGGTGACAACAAATTAACCTATTCCCCAATTACTACACACTTATAAAAATGGTAGCAAAGTGGTAAGTAGGGTCATTCTTCCACAGGGAGATTTGTCTTCTATTATTTCTTCTCTTGATTAATTGCTCACACTACTACAGGATATGGAATACACAGCGGATAAATTTGATATTTCACAGCGCAAATCAATCGCTGTGTATGTGACCGGTGCAATAGGTATCATGTTTACACAGCGGATATTTATCCGCTGTGTAAGGTTTCTTAAAAAATTATATAGTTTACACAGCGGATATTTATCTGTTGTGTAAAGTCAATATTTATTTAAAAAAAATATCAAATTCAATAGTATCACAAATCCATTACACATAAAACATGGATAGTTGAGCATGAATTCAACTCCAACTTACACAATTCAATTCCAAATTACAAAGTACTTCGTAGTATTCTAAACCATCTACTATAGGATTACTTGCACACATTTTATTTACAGAGCTTGATCCTCATTCCTTTCTCTTGAAAGAGCAAGCTTCCGTTGTCATGAGAAACACAATTAATACGGAGTAACTAACTTTGATTAATTCCTTTCTCTTGTATAGATGACTTTGCAGCAACATGTGCCATCTGATTAACATGATAATGTGTTGATAATTTGCAATATCTGGAGTGAGTGAGAATGGCTGCCAACAACAAGATAGAATAAGTTAGGATAAACAAAAAAAGATTTACAATATGGTATATCAGTTCAAACAGTAAAAAAGTAAAATTTATATCAGATCATTACATACGAAGGTATTTGGATTTTTCCCACACCTAATGTTGCCGATTCAAACTATAAGAAACTAATATCAGATCACTATGTGATCAAACTATGAATGGACAAATTAAATACTGCTCCATAGAAGTTTCTTCCTTAAGCCCATTTTGGATGGGTAAAGAAAAACAAAAAAAATATAATGGAGCTTAAGCTAATGAACATAACTCTAGGAAGTCGGCGGTGTTTTTTTCCGTCAGCATCTGCCCAGGATCATCTCGAGGCAAGAGCATCTGGGTTCACCTTCTCACACATCAACAAAGAAATTTTGAATTATCCATGTTTTATTAGGTCATTTAGTATTGTTAAAGATACCAATTTGATTGAATAAAAACCTTAAAAATATTATATCTTTATTGTGTATAGTACACTAAGGGGCTGTTTGGCAACTTCTGAATAGGTAAGCGCTGAACCAGTAAGAAGTCTGAACCATTAAGTGCTGAACCAGTAAGAGGTCTGAACCATTAAGAGCTAGTATATTGCTTAACTATTCAGAGGCAAATGTCGAATCAATTCAGATAAGAGATCTTAACCATTCAGACTCTGTATAATACTTAACCATTCAGAGGCAAATGTCTTAACCATTCAGACATCTGAACCATTAAGAGGCTGAAACAAACAGTCTGAACCATTAAGTGCTGAACCATTCAGACATCTGAACCATTAAGAGACTGAAACAAACAGCCCCTAAGTGTTGTTTTTCATGTTCTGTTTAAGTTCATAGTAAAAGCAATAGAAAGTGACCTTAATTAGCTTTTACCTGCTCCAAAAAGTAAAGTATGTGCAGGCCACATAGCTGATTAAAAGATTCCAAAGCACTTGCACACACTACATTTTTCAACATAAAGCCAAAAATGTTTGCTTGAGCACAATGGAAACCAGCATTTAGTATCACTTCATATTCTTCATCAGCACTGTATAAGTATAAATGTGTAGGTGAATGACTATATTACAAACAGAGAAAAACAAGATTTTATTTTGTTACTGCAAAAAACACAAACTAGTGAGAATCATGCCAACAAGATTCATTAAGTAAATGATATAGAGGAATAAAGATAAATATAGAGGAAGGAGACAACTAATAGATAAACTTAGATGACCATAATGTAAAAAGCTAGTTGACAAACCTCTAAAACCAAAACCGACAGGGGCTTTGGATAGGTTCCCCTTAAAGACACAAGGGAGACTCCAAAAAGATGTTGGGTATTGGCCATTAGGGGCATGATGTCTCTGCAATAATCAATCAAAAACCGTACAAGCTTGTGTGTCATGTCTGAAGCACTCCGGGATGCATTCTAGTTAATAATGGTGGAAAAACTATAACATGTCTTGGACCAGAGATAATGAACCATTGATACATAGATGAAATCTAGGACTTCATCAATTTTGAGAAGTTATCCTAAAAAACACATGTCCAAAGAATAAGCTAAAAAATAATGTGATTAAGAACAAAAAAAACCTTGAAGCTTAACCTTTAACACATTCCATTAAACCATGTATATGTTCCTGGCTTTTAGGTCAGTGACACGCCTACTCCTTCTGATCACAATACACATGCACGATAATGAACCATTGATACGTAGATGAAATCCAGGACTTCATCAATTTTGAGAAGTTATCCTAAAAAAACACCTGTCCAAAGAATAAGCTAAAAACTAATGTGATTAAGAACAACAAAAACCTTGAAGCTTGACCTTGAACACATTCCATTAACCCATGTATTTGTTCCTGGCTTTTAGGTCAGTGACACGCCTACTCCTTCTGATCACAATACACATGCACCACCACAGGTTATAGGAAAAAGATGAACCTCATAGCACAGACCAGACAATTGCCCCTACAGTTATTGTCGGGCAAATGAGGGTCTCCAGTCTCCATGTTGCGCATAATTGTTTGTTACCGGGAGTCAAACTCGTGCATTACATCTTTATGCCTATCTTTGCCAGCTAATATTAATGCCCTTCACATTGACTTCTACTCCCATAGTCCCATTATGGGTTTGAAACTGTTTACTTGGAATACGCAGTGTTTAGCTATTATTCCATTGCTGTGTTTTCTTAACCTGGGGGGAGGAGTAGGCTCTGTGTTTTCTGCAGCCATGAAAGGAGCTAGTGTTTATGAGGTTGATTATTGCAGGTTTACGATCTTAAAAAGGGAAATTGGCTTTGGCCAAGAGCATCCATTCACAGCTGGAGAGCTTACAAATCATAGTGATTCCGGCATTAAGTTTTTGGCTACACGTGCAGGATGATCATCCCTACACTCAAATCATTGTTTCAAAACATTTTTGTTTCACAAAATTCCCCCAAAAAATTAGTCCCAAGTAGACTTCTCCCCCCTTTTCAGAAAAAAGATGCACATTACATATAAGCTATAATTGTGAAATCTAAAATTTGCACATTACACGAGAGGAAAAAAACTAAAATTGGGGCTACTTGCGATTCAACAGGGGAAGTGCGATTCAACCAAACGAATGTAATTCAGGGAAACAGAGTAAATTAGGGCTAACATGCGATTCAACCCAACGGAAGTGCGACTAACAATACGTATACTATACATCGTAAATTAGCAGAGCAAGCATGCTAACCTTTCAATTTGTGAGAAATCCGAGGGCTTGAGGGAGATGTTGAAGGACTTGGCTGGGTGAGATCGTTAGGGTCGTTCGTTGGTGAGGGAGTTCACTGCCAATAGAGATGTAGCTGAAGATCCGGCGGCGATGGCGAGGGAGTTCGCTGTATGCGTCTGGGAGCGGTAGGGAGAAATTGAAGGATTGATCGAGTATGTATCGCAGCGAAAATCGAAGGATTAGAAAACGGGGGTCTAATTTCAACAGCGCTTTTTTTTATCCGCTGGTTTAGAATAAAAACTTAAATGATGCGGCCCAACCCAATTTCTTTTGTGCGTGCGGTTTTCCTTCTTAAACAAACAACATCGAGTCTCATTTATCCGGTGTGTAGAATGCGGTGTAAAATGATTATTTTGTAGTAGTGTCAGTTTCCACAACACACACACGCAGGGGGGTTGTTCATAAGATGCTGATGCTACGTAATGAAAACAGATTTTAACAGAAACAATGAGAACAGATCAAAGAAGGGGAGAGAAGTTCAGGTAAAGGTTTGTGGTTATTAAATGGAGTAACAAGCTTGTCTAGTGGAATTAGGAACAGTTGCTCAGATCAAAGTAAAAAAAATCAGATTCTCAGTTAAACAAGTTGTTGAACAAAAGTGAGATTTAGCTCTCTCAGCAAGGAGCTAAATCTCCACCTCAAAAATCAGTCCTTAAGAGAGATGAGCACTGCCTAAGGACCTGTACCTACGTTAATAACCTCAGGATGAGCCTGATGCAAATTAACATAAGCATGAATTCAGTTATAAAAAACCTTTTGAACATACAATATACTTGGACAGCCAAATACACTATATGTCAGGTGTTGAACCCCAAATAAGAATTTCAGACTGAATAATTGAGGCATAAGACCTACAATCAACAGTTTTGAGAAGCTGAGCACAAAAAAGGATTAAACAACCTTCAACAACTGTGTAAACCTCAAATCAATGCAACGAACACAAATTCCTGAGGACTGATCCTAAATTTCCACCAGACAAGAGAGGGATTACTCTCGGAACATGATCATGATAATCGATTCACAATTTAAACACATGATCACAGGAGAATATTGTCCAAACAAGAGATTAGGACTCAGATTTGAATAGCACGAAATCACACGTTCAATTATGAATCAACAATTCAAACAATCCTCAAACATTAAAACTGTATCTCGAATTTGGAAACAAAAACAACGAAGTACCTCTGGACAGCGTTCGAGGATCAAATCCTATGAACGTGATGACTCCTCTGTTCGGTTACAGCGCCTGATCGGGAAGAGCGCTTGGTGATTGTGCGATGAATGATGATGATCGCGAAGCCTAACTCGCCGGATTGTGCCAGGTCGCCGGAATATTTCTCCCGGTGAACTCTTCGATCTCACCTTCTCTCTCTCTCGTTCCTTTCTCCTCTCACACGAAACTGCTCTCTCCCTCTCACATAACTTAGTTTTTGTACTCAACTAATGGGCTGGGTTGGTTATTTTCACTTTGGGTCGTCTAGCCCGATTCTAACAATTAACCCAATGGACCTAAAATAACACAAGAATTGCACTCTAACCTCTAGGATGGTCAACGTTCTTTCTTGATCTTAAATTAAACCAAATTCTCACTAATGGTGACCCAAAGATTACTAAATGTAAGGGAATTTAAAGACTATAAAAGAGCCTAACAAAATCCCCCACACTTACTTCTTGGCCGTCCTCGGCCAAGTTGCAGAATGCAAGTATAGAAAGCTCATCATCTCATTTCTGTACGTACATTCCTCCTTTCTCTTACTCTAAAGTCCGACCAAATGAACTAATGTAGAATTTTCAACCTTCCCAACTCAAATTGCACCAAAATCGCATGATGTAGTTTCCTTAGGAATGCTGACTCATTAAATTGAATCTAGAGTGGCTGACTTCTTTTTCATGAGAAGGTGATCCCACAATCCTTTTTGAATGAGGCCAAAGTCCCAATTGTCCTTACTGTTACTAAACTGCCCCTTTTCAACCCTCAACCCATTCCAGATAGCCCGGGACTTAGATAATCAAGGTATCCCATGGACCTCACCCGAGAGAAAGAGAACTGATAAACTGAAAAATGTGTGGGAGTTTCGGGATTGAGTACGGCCCAAAACAGGGGTTTGCCCTTCCAATTGAACTCTGCTCCATACACATTGTTGCTTAAGGGGACAGAGATGCCGGGCCACCAATGCCAATTCCAAAAGGTTTTTCCCACACACATTCAAGCTTAAGAGTCTAGAGAGGTAGCAAAAAACAGTTTGGGTTAGGACTTAATGACTCCACTCTAAAGGTTGCTGTTTTAAGGGTGTTCTCAATCAGTAAATTCAACCAACCACCCTAGAATCCAACTCAAATCAGCCAGGCTAACAGTCACTAAAAAAAATCTGCACCAGAATTTTAGTGCAACTCAATTTGGGAGTTTGAAAGCTGTACACTGCTCAAATGGACATTCCAGAATAAGAGACAGAAGCAATATTCATTCAGACATTCTAAGAAGCATTTCCCTTCCTATACTTGGTCCTCCACAACTTAGCAGTTGGCCATAAGGGCACCAACTCCAACAATATATATAGAGGCGTCTTGATAAACGCCCTTCTCTGTACATTGTGTCAAAGAAAAATGAAACAGAAAAGACTAAACTGAGTTATGCAGTCTTCTTCAACCTCTGTTTAAAAACTATCTAATGAATCAAAAATGCAATACTACTCACAAAAAACCCTAAAATCACTTCCATACTTGGGTAAGCAAATAAGGCTGGATGGGTTAAAATTTGGAATTAAGAGGGTTCTTTCTAAACTTTTCCACACTGTTGTCGTTTATGCATTAGATAAAAAGATTTTAAAAACTTAAAATCAAAGATGACATCAAGTATTATCAGAGCAAATCAAAAGGTGCCATATGAATTAAACTGTCCCAACCTTGGGTTCAAACTCAAGCTAATACTAAAGATTTTTTTTGAGCCTGTCAATATAACATCATAATTTGTAAAAAAAATAATTAAAATTAACAATTTAATTTTAGAACTTTCATAATAACAAAGGCAGTGTGATGGTTGGAAATGCTGCAGTAGGTAGTGCTATGGTTGGAACACACTCAAGGTAGCAGTGGATCTCATGATGTTCACCCATTAAATTCTAAACCCTAGCCATCAATTGATGCTAACGACAACCTCCACCTTCTACATATTCCTCAAGTTGCAACTCTGCAACTCTGCAAGGAAAGCCTAGGTTGGCGCCTGTTATTTACCGATTTCTCTACGGTTGTACATGGATAAGAATGATGATCTTCTTCCGTTTTAACATGTTGTTCAAGCGAAACCTGTGTAGTTGAAAAAGGATTTAATTTTTGGTAGCATAATTTCAAGGAGATGAATTGGACTTACCATGGACCGCAGATTGGCCTAAGAGTTGGAAAAGCTATAAGAATCTGTCAAGCAGCGATGGAGATTTGAGGATGGAGGAGGCCGGATGGTGGGTTGAGGACTTGAGGCAGATCGGATCGGTAGAGGATGAAGATATGGAAACCGCCCCTTTTCAATCGACATGGATTTTAGAATGGACGGTCAGATTTGTCAATTACGGATGAAATTGGACCGTCCGATTGCAGCGAAAATTGGATAGAATTTGCACTCAATTTGCATCCTTCTTTTATATATATAATAGATTGGCTTGTAGGTGGAGGAGTGTATTCTGCTTGCGTAATGCAAACAAGTTCAAGTCTTGTTTTGCAGCATCTAGCGGTTTAACATTTTGAGGAACGTCATTCGAATCGTATTCGCATATCGCATGCCTTTCATCTTTGAGGGTCATGTTACGTAATATAAGAAAAGTATACATAACATGTCTTTGTTTTTTGGTGACCAAGCATGAGGCAGGTAATGGATAATATGACATCTCTCCCTTAGAACTCCAAATAGTTTTTCGACATCTTTTCTTGCTGATTCTTGGTTGATGGACAATAAATCCACCAAATAATCTGATTCGGAAGAATGGATCACAATTAATAAAATAAGAACAAGAACTTGAGAATTATGTGTGTATTATTAGCTTGATTTAGCTTGAGTCTTTCCCATCTCGGGTCTCCTCTATTTATACATGGGTTCTAGATAGTTAAGGTAATTCATAATCAAAGGGAGTCCATCCCGTCAATGGCGCGATCCTGTCTTTCCGGCTTCGTCTTCGCCACTCAGCTCAGTCTCCTCCTGCCAATTAGCTCTGCCAGCTGTACTTTGGGTTGGAGTGATCCAGGCCACATGCTGTGGGCTGGCCCAGGTCCAAGTTCTTATTGCGTACTCAACCCGGAGCCCACTGGATGGTTAATCTAGGCCGCCCGCTGGATATCGGCCCATCACAAGCCCCCCAACTCCTCATTCCTCAAACGGGCCACGTTGAGGGATGGGGAGTTTACGAGGTCCACGTGGGCACTCCAGCACGGATTTGGGCCGCTCCTTGGGTTTCGCGTGACGTTTGGCACGATCTCCACTAAAAGGTAATCATGGCTTGCTGCTTTGCCTTCCTACTACCTGTTAAAACCGCTGCTGGACGCAAATTTTCCCCATCTACATTCTCAACTGCTCTTCGTTTGTCCTTCCGTTGTTACCCAACCCGTTTTTCTTCTACTTCAGGTTAGTCCCCTCTTTCGCCACCATGATTATCTCTGATTCTGATTGAGCTTCCGCGTTGTCCAATTCTCGCCAAGCCGATCAATCGACCTCTAGCCGTGACCTAAGTCAGACTCAATCATCTCAGCCATCGCTGGCGGCCATGCTTGGCCAAAAGCGGCGCCGATTGAGGAAGCAATTTCCTCCCTCGACCCTAGCACGAGGGGGGGCTCGAGGGTTAAGCTGGATGAGAATATCATGGCGTTGTGCCATTGCCAAATCATTGACCAGGGGTTCGCCGATGCAACTAACATGGTCGGACCCTCTATTGATGTCTTAAGGCCCACTAGCACCCACCACCTAGACACTCCTTCAGGGCTCTTTACAGTTGATCTGGCGTCTCTAAAGAAGGGGCTGCGAGGACCTCCTTCCTTGCCAACTGGTCCCAAATTCTCACCGGTATATCGCTGGTTACCTGGTTAGATGCAAGGAAGTAGGGGTGAAACCAACCCTTGATCACTTCTTGTTTACCTTCAAACTAACCAAAGGCCATAAGAATTGGGTGTCCTATGCCAGCCTGTCCCAACGGTCCAGCAAACTTTTCACCAGCGACAAGAAGGGGTTGACCAAGGACTGGAAGCCCTTCTTTGCCTTTGTCTTGACGGGACCTGAATCTCCTTTCATGGGTTCAGGGCTCCCATCCTTCCGTCGCATCCCATGTCCCCCACCCGACGCCACCCTCTTGTCCATCATCCAGCAACTCTGTGGCCAAGGGGCCGTCGAGATTAAAAAGGTGGTGACTGAGGAATCCCTAGCAGCGCTGGGGTTTGAGTTTGTCTAGGACGAGCTTCGCCATCAGCTCGACCTGCTGAGAGATGTTCCCGGGGGACATCAGCCAGACCTACCAACTTGGGGTGGCATTGACTATGGTCCTTTTGATAATTTCCTTCTTTTTTGTCAGGGATTTCAAGTTTATTTCCTTCGGGGATTAACCGTTCCATTTGTTTTCAATTGAGCCACCAGGATTAGAAGAAGAGATGGATGGTGATCTTCTGCTCGGTCACTTCGTCGGAGGGAGGAAGAGGAAAAGGGACGCGACCAAGCAAGGCAGAAGCATGTGCTCTTCCTCTCGTGGCGAAGATAGTCCTCCTCGGGAGCAGGTCGTGATCGAGGTGGAGGACCAGGATGATGTAGCTCTAGAAACAGGGACGATGGCGATCAACCCCCCGCCGCGCTCTCTGATGCTGGGTGGCAACTTAGCTGGGTCGTCCCAGGGAGCATGTTTGGAGTGACCTCACTCCCCACGAGTAGTGACCTACGAGGTGGCGAACGAGGGTCGCTCGACGAGATTCAGCATTCCTCCCCTGTCCCCAGGCCTAGGGGATGTGCAACTGGAGACCTTGGTCACCTTGCCCGCTCAAGATCAAGCTCGCATCTCGGCCGGTTCTGAGGATGACCTCAACAACATGGTTCTCCTGAAGCTCCGCTAGGTATTTGCCTTAACCTCCTTCTCGCCACCCCTCCATCTTACATCTCTAACCTTTATGTTCTAGTATAGGCGACACTGGGGATGAGGCAAGGAAGGCGGTGGAATATAAGCAGAGAGAGCTGCAGGAGGTGGTCGCTCGCCTCACAAGAGAGTTGGAGGAGGAGAAGGGTCGCTCATTGTCTTCCGAAGTGGGGTCCATTTCTGCCCGCGTTGCTAGGTTGGAGGGGGAGAAGACCGATCTGATTCGGAAGCTGGAGGCGGAGAAGAGCGACCAGGTCCGTCAAGTGGAGGAGGTGATCGAGTCCTTCAAATCTTCTCCTGACTTCGCTGCGGTCGCTATGGAGCGGATGGACGAGCTGGTAGCCGAATGGCTAAAAATCGAGCCCGGGGTCCAATGGACGGTCAAGGAGGGAAAAAAGTCGTTCAACTGCGGACTCTTTCGTGCCCAACAAATTTTTCGCAACAAGCTTGTTAGTCGGTTTAGTCATTGTGCCTACGCCTTAGAGGGGGGGTGAATAAGGCGTTTGAAAACTTTTCGGAGTTAAATAAAAACGGTGTTGGCAAATGCCGAAGCAATAAGTAAAACGCAAAAATAAAAGTGTTAAGTAAAAGACACACCAATTTTATACTGGTTCGGAAACTCCCTACTACAGTACCTTAAGGCTTCTCCTTAAGGATTTCCGAATCCACTAAGTCTCGGTCTCTTGAACTTCGTCAAAGCACCGCACTAGTTTTTGCAAACAACCCTTGCCAATATGATTCACTCCGAGATTTCACAACGGCTATCTCGTACTGTTCCCTCAAGGATTTCCAAGGCTATCCTTGAACCTTTACCCAACAATCTATGCAGCAGGGCCGGTCCCGAGAATTCCATGGCCTGGGCCGAGACGGAAAAAAATGCCTAAAGGTCTTATTCCTAATGACTTAACAAATTAAAGTGTGTAAATAAATTATATTTAAATTACAATTAACGTAATAATGATTTATTAAAATGAGTGAATCAAAATCATAGTAAAGGGTTTATATATACTTATATCCCCAAATCAATGTTCTGAAAATTAGTCCGGATGTCAATCCAGACAAGCTAGTGTGTCAAGAGTTAAATAGTTGAACCAGTCGACTCAGGGGTCAACAACTTGATCAATTATAATTAAAATAAATTATATTATTAGAGTTTTTTAATAAATAAGGAAATTTAATTTGTGTTTTTTCATTCTTCCATTTAGTTTTTTATATCATTTTGCATATGTCATCATACTTTCTATTTTCTATTTGTATTATTTATTACAATTAAAGATAAACAATGAATATCAAATAAATATATACTAAAATTATTTAAAAAAATAAAATCTAGGTAATATAATTATTTAAAAAATAAAAGGCAATACAATTATTTAAAAAAAACTAGGTAAAGTGTTTTTAAATAATACGGAGTACTATGTAATCTGTATGTAACTAACACTTCATACTTATATTTAGTTGATTGAAACAAGAAAAGTAGAATACAAAATTAATTTTTATATATTAAAGTATAATTAATAAGAATTTCTTAATTTTTATTGATGAAATTTTTTTAGGTATAAGTATTAATATTAATTTTTAGAAAAAAACATAAAAAGAAGTTATTTTTCTACTTGTGTTTCTTTTTTTAAATAATTGAAAGTTTTATTAAATGCAAGTATGTTATATATCTTATTGGGTAACATATGTAACAATGGGATTAGTAGCTTGAGTGGATGCAGTGCCCCTTGCCTCCTGCCTTTAACAAAGTTCGAATTCTAGAGTCCTCAAATATGCTATTGCTTCTTTTACTTTTGTAGGAGTGAGTAGTGTATTAGGCATGATATTATTCCTAATCTACCCTTCTTTTAGTGCCACAAAAAAAACCACCCCCACCGCACCCTAATTTTTCTGCCTTTGATCCAATTGTTCTCGGACTTTTTTCAATGTCCTCGATGTTTCATAAGCCAAAAATTCAACCATGGATGAACTGGATTGGCAATGACCGGTATCCGTTTTTGGATGATTTTGAAGTGATTCAGCATCGCTTCATGCCAGCGGAGTACGATCACCATTGTGTATGCCCAATTGTAGTGGTAGATGAAGTGAGTGATTCCTATCAACTATGTTGAAATTTAGAATTCTCTACCGCCCTCCCCCTCGCTATCAGATCCACCTCTGTCTCCTCTAGTACAACCGGGAGGCAGTATGATGTTGTACTGGTGGAGGGTGGCAGTGTGGTGGCAGGAGGTGACAGTGTGGCGGCAGAGGGTGGTAGTGTGGCGGTGAATTTTATAGTGTGGTGGAAGAGGGAGGTAGTGTGGCGACAAAAGGTGGTGGTGTGACGTTGGAAATCGTTGTGTGGCGGCAGCATTGGAGGCACTATGGTGACGGTGTGGTGGCAGTGTGGCGATGGAGGTGACAGTGTGGGAGTGGAGATGGTGGTGTTGTGGAGGATTTTTGCAATGTGGCGGTACAGGTTCGTGCAATCTGGCGATGACGATGGCAGTGTGTCGTGGGGGTGGTTGTGGAGGTGATAGTGGCAGGGTCGCAGTGGGTCGGTGGCGGATGCGATGGAAGTGAAGTGACGACAACGATAATGTGGTAGTGGCGGCGGCGGCACAAATAGATATGTGGTGGTGGTGGGCGGCGACAGTACGTGTGGCGACGATGGTGGTGATGATGATGATAGTGTGGTGCGAAGGGAGGCAATGTGGTGATAGAGGTGGTAGTGACAATGGCAGTGTGGCAAAAAACCAGGTGCTGATTTCCATAAATTTGGTGAATCAAATCTCATATACTTATTATAAAAGGGCAAAATTGGCATTTCAAACACCCATTGCCATGCGGGACATCCATTCTGATTAGCAGTGCTATTTTGGGCATTAATCACATATTCTAGTGCTATTTCTGTACTTCTCCCTTTACAATATGAGAATTTAACGGCTATTCTTGACCGTATAAAGATGTGTTTGAAGAAAACAAACAAGAGTTCTACACAACCGCTTGAATATAAAAATGAAGAACAAAACTTAGCCGGTGTAGAAGAAAAGTATACTTTCTCAAAAATACAATTCAAACTTATGAATATGAGAGTATATAACTAGAAACACAAGCTCAAAGTGTGTGTATAAAAATCAGAAATTTAAGGCTCTTAAAATAGCCAAAATATAGAAAATAATTAATAAAGGAGTGAACACACTTACAATATTAAATAAGGATGTTTGGAGCTTTGTTTCTTAAAGAAGTATGAAGGATTAGGCTTATATTTATAGTGGACGATGTTAATTAGCCGTTGGGAGGTGATTAGGGTTGATTTAATTCGAAATTGCAAATCAGGAACATTAACCCAACGGATCCGGTATCCTTCACGGTAGGGGCAGTACCGTCCGGTACGTAGGTACCGTGACCACGGTATAGCCTACCGTGTGGGGGTACCGTATAGGCCAAAAGGTGGGTTCCTCTCTAGCGGTACCTAGATAGGACGGGTTGGGCCAACCGTCACTACTTACCGTCGGTACCCAGGTACCGTTACACGGTATTGGGGTACCGTGTAGGCGGTATACCCTACCGTTTGGAGTATCGCTAGGGGTACCGTGCCACTGTCCTGAGTTTTCCAAAATTCCCGTAATCCTTCGTGTTTGAGTTTAAAACCTTTTGGATATTTGAAAATGTTTATGGGATGGTTTTAAACATATTTTGTGAGTTCTTTGAGCTTGTGAATATAGGTATATAAAGTCATATCCTTACATTGGTTTCTACCTATATTTTACGCTAGTTTAGTGTTTCGACTTCATTCTTGAGTACCGAATCTTCATGGATTCTTTTTGTAGCTGAAACACTTAAACAAACGTCAAGCTCGTATATTGTTTGTTAACATCAAAACACGAGGCTTAGCAAACCAAGGCTAACAAAGCTAGCCCGGCTCCCCAAAGGATTCTCCTTCCCCGACCTCGGTTTTCCTCCTCCTTGTCGTGCCTTGGCTGAGTTCGACCCCGGTCCTTACTTGGATGAGGGGAGCTTAAGTGCCTCTGACGAGGAAGAAGAAAAAGCTGCGCTGGACGACCAAGGTGGGCAAGACGACCAGGACCCTGGGGCAAACCTAGTGATGTCCAAGGCGAGTGGAAGTGCCAGCTCGGGCATTTGATTTACCTCCATTCCCCCTTGTCTTTTCTACCTTTAAACTTTGTAAAAACTTATGATTTTTGAAACATCTTGGTGCTTTAATACGTTACCCCCATGTTGGATGTTTTGCTTTATTCATCATGTGCCCTTACTTTCTTTGTGCTTTGCTGCTTTACTCTTTCCTTTAAGTTGGCTTAACCTACAGACATGGATGGGCCTTTAAATTGGGCCTACCCTCTATCCTTAGCCCAATTGCATGGCTAGGCCTAGCCTCGGGACTAGCTGGCGTGCTGCCCAACTTACCCTATGCATTTTACACAGCCTATGATTGGACCTTTGCGCGGCTCAAGGCCACTTTATCGGTTCAGCTGCCTTGGGACTTGACCGTCCCTTCGATTTCCTCACCCGGGGCTATTTATAAGCCCCCCATTCGCCATTCAGCTCCACCATCAAACACCTTCTCTTTCTCCATTTTTGGCATGTTTGAAAAAATTCCTACTTCTCTGAATCTCTCCGATGGGCCGGTCCCTTCTTCGCCGGAGCCTGCCTCTTCCCCCAAATCTGTTAACTCCAACGACTAGGGGGGCTAGACCCCTACGAATTCTGCCGCCGGTTGCCTCGCCAGAAATGGCCCTCGGCTAAACTGCCGCCCATTCCGCCAAACCCTTATGACGACTTCAGCGCGACGTCTAAGGTGCTTTTTGCCAACCGTTTTCCAAACGAAGAGGCTGGGCTCCATGCCCCATCCACCAATTGCATTGTATGGCTTGGGAGAGCGTGCATGATGAGCACTTGCCCCTCTTGGAGCATTGTGGTGGGGCAAGAACTGGATTCTTCCCTACCACGCCCTGCTGGTCGCTCACCCCCTCAGAAAGCTCCTAGGCGACCTGGAGTAGTACGAGCTACCTTAGGGTCTCCATCCTCATCTAGGTGATTCGTATTGGACCTCATAGAAAAGTGAGTCGCCTCCCCTCCTTCCCTTGCAAGAGAAGGACAGGGGTTTTTGCTGCGGCTAGGGGGTGACCATCTCTGTTCCATGTCAGAGAAGAAAGGTGGTCGCTCATGACGAATGGTGATTGGGGTTCTGTCGGCCCACGCATATGTAGAACTACCCTTCAACCTTGCCTTTTCCCCTGTATTCCTCATCCTTTCCGGGCTTCAGCCACACAGATTTTGAATTCTTGTCTCGTATGTAAGATATATGGAAGTTGTTTTTAATTGTATTGGATATGTAGATGCAAAAGGTTATTTTTGAAATGTAATAGATATTTTCATGAATGTACTTCGATGTCACTATTAGCCTTGGTTTGCTAAGCCTCATGTTTTGATGTTAACATACAATATAAGAGCTTGACGTTTGTTTAAGTGTTTCAGGTATAACAAGAATCCATTAAGATTCGGTACTCAAGAATGAAGTTGAAACACCAAACTAGCGTAGAATATAGGTAGAAACCAATGTAAGAATATGATTTTATATGCCTATATTCACAAGCTCAAAAGCACTCACAAAATATGTTTAAAACCATCCCATAAACATTTTTAAATATCCAAAAGGTTTTAAACTCAAACACGAAGGATTACGGGAATTTTGGAAAAATCAGGACAGTGGCACGGTACCCCAGACGGTAGGGTATACCGCCTACACGGTACCCCCATACCGTGTAACGGTACCAAGGTACCGTACGGTAGGACGGAACGGATGGCCACACCCGTCCTAACCAGGTGCCGCCAGAACCGAATGGAGATTTTGTGCTACACGGTACCGAGGTACCACCACGCACGGTACCCCCTACCGTACGCACGGTACCATGCTACCGTGTGGACGGCACATGCCTACGGGAGCCGTTGCGGTTACTGTTCCTGATTTGCAATTTTGACTTTAATCAATCCTAATCACCTCCCAACGGCTAATTAACATCTTCCACTATAAATACAAGCCTAATCCTTCATATTTCCCCGGCCAGAGGTGGCTGTCCGGTAAAGGCTTTATCCATCTTGCACTTCATCTGAGTGCCTTAACGACCGCGCCTGCGGTCAAAAGGCGCACGTACCCGTCCGCGGTAAAGGATGCCCGTCAATGCTTGCGGATTGAGGATTTGAGCACCCGTGGCGCACACGGAAAGTGCGTATGCGTGGTACCGTCATAAAATCGGTGCCCTCGTCGGGAGGCTGGGTGGGGCCCGGCGAGGTTTCTTTCGCCTGCGTCAGTGCTTGCGCGTGGGGTTAGAGCACCCGCTATCTGTCGGCGGTAATGGGCTAAGGGTTGGCCACTGACCCATAGTGGTACCTCTTCTCTCTTTTATTCTTCTTTTTTATCCTTTCTTGACCTCATTTCTTGGATCTTTCTTCTCCTCACATTTCCTCATTGGATCTTTGGATCACATGGTATTTCTTTGGACTGCATTTGAATCACATCTTGGATTTGGATATTTCTCGGTGGACTGTATTTGAGTTTGGGCCTTCGGCTGGGCTCCCTGGATCGGCAGTTTCGGTTGCTAGGATGGCTTGTCAGTTTGGGCTTGTTGGGCCTGGCAGTTTTGCTGGGTTTTGGGCTGCATGTTTGGACTCGAGAATCATTGCACTACATGGGATCTTGGGCTTCATTTTGGATCACACAACTTGGACTTGGACTGCATTTGAGATTGGGCCATCTTTATTCGGCTGGGCTCCTTTGGGTCGACGCTGAATTTGGCAGTTGGGCCTGGCGGGCTACCTGGCAGCTTTTGCTAGGAGATGCTGGGCTGGCTGGATGAGCGCTGGGCTGGTGTCATGGATTTGGGATGGCTTCATTTTTGCACACATGCCTTTAGAGATTGGGCTTCTTCATGGTTTGGGCTTTATCAGTTATGGTTTGAACATATTATTTTTTCATTCTTTAGTTGGGCTTTTTTGGATTTTAGACTGGACTTACGTCGATTACATCTCTTGGCTCATTACGTTTTTCTTGATCTGGATTATCTGACCTTAGGCCTTACCCTTGCGGGGGTTGGGGCTCCGGGAATGATTTTATTCCTAGATCTAATAGTGAAATGTTGTGGGCTGGTTTTGTAGTTGCACTTAAGTCCATGTTCTCCTATATCCGATAAGCTCTTCACTTTATAGTTCTTTGGTTGTTGCTTACTTTTTATACAAGTGTGGAGCCTATTCCCGCTTGTTCAAACGTTTGTATTCTTTCATTATTTAATAAAACGCGTTTTATTTGAAAAAAAAATAACAAACAAAAAAAAACAAGAAACAAAGCTCCAAACATCCTCATTTAATATTCTAAGTGTGTTTACTCTTTCTTTAATTATTTTCTATATTTTGGCTATTTTAAGAGCCTTAAAGTTCCTGATTTTTATACACACACTTTGAGCTTGTGTTTCTAGTTATATACTCTCATATTCATAAGTTTGAATTGTATTTTTGAGAGAGTATACTTTCTTTCTACACCGGCTAAGTGTTGTTCTTCATTTTTATATTCAAGCCGTTGTGTAGAACTCTTGTTTGTGTTTTTCAAACACACTTTCTTACGGTCGAGAATAGCCGTTAAATTCTTACGTTGTAACGGTTAAGGATAGCCGTATAAATCTTTGGGTAAAGGTTCAAGGATAGCCTTTGAAATCCTTGGGGGAACGGTATGAGATAGCCGTTGTAAAATCTCGGAGTGAATTCTATTGGCAAGGGTTGTTTGCCAAACTAGTGCGGTGCTTTGACGGAGTTCAAGAGACTGAGACTTAGTGGATTCGGAAATCCTTAAGGAGGAGCCTTAAGGTACTGGAGTAGGGAGTTCCCGAACCAGTATAAAATCGGTGTGCATTTACTTTACGCTTTTATTTTTGCGTTCTACTTATTGCTTCCGCATTTGCCAACACCGTTTTTATTAAACTCAAAAAATATTTTAAAATGCCTTATTCACCCCCCTCTAAGGCGTGGGCACAACGAATTAACCGACTAATAGTTACCTGTTTACTTTACAAGTCCCATCTTCTTTTCAAGTTATCTCTTTTGCACCTTAAGCATTCAGGTTCCCCAACCTTCAGTTGGAAAAATCCCCTTGCTTCCCATGACTTAGCCGTTCCTGGGGCCTTTTTTCTCCCACGGCGTCGCCCTATTCTTCATTAGTCCCCCGGTCGCCCATGCAACCATTGGATCTCATGTTCTAGACTTAGCCGCTCCCAAGGCTTTTTCGCCGCGGCATCGCCTTTCTCTACCGGGCGTGTTGTCCTACCGGTCACCCTAACGACCGTAGATCAAGCACCCTCTATTAGCCTTTGGACTTGGTTACTAATTGGGTTCAGCACCTCATCCCCTGATGGGTGTCTTAGTGCGAATCACCATATAGTTTTTATTAGCGATCTCTTTGGTCGCTCCTTTTTTTTGAATGATGAAATTCAAGAAAAGAAGTGCCAAAATGCTACTTTTATTGAACTCAAAGGAGAAACATAGTAGGAGTACAATCTACTGATATAATTTGATAAGATTGACCGCATTCCATACCCGCGGAACGTCGCCTCCCACTGGTGTCTGCAGCTTAAAGGTTCCATCGGCCAACATTTCCTTTATGATGTATGACCCTTCAAAACTCTTGGCAAACTTCCCCCCGTCAGTCGGCCGACTGACCTCCCTTTTTCTCAGTACCTAGTCGCCCATTCTGAACTACCTTGGTCGCACCCTTTGATCATGGTACGACTTAACTTGCCGACAATAATTCTCTGCCTGTATGTATGCCCTTTCTCTCCGTTCGTCTATAAGATGTAGCTCCGCCCTTAGGTTCTCTTTGTTCTCCTGGGCATCAAATGTTTCCACTCTATAGCTTAGCAATGAGGTCTCAGCTGGAGCCCTCGCCTCGAACCCATACGTGAGCGCGAACGGAGTTTCACCCATAGCTTTCCTTGGGGTGGTCTGATAGGTCCATAGGATGTATGGCAACTCTTCCACCAGGCACTTTTGCACTCCATTATTTTCTTCTTCAAGCCGTCCACAATGGTGCGGTTAGGATTCTCGACCTGCCCATTGGTCTGGGGGTACCCGACCGTAGCGCAACTATGTTTTATACCCCAACTCTACTGAAACTCATTGAACCCCTTAGCTTCAAACTGGGTCCCATTATCAGTGATGATCTGCTAGGGCACCCCAAAATGGCACAAAATTTGTTTGAACACAAATTTCCTCATCTGCTCTTCGGTGATGGTCGGTACAGGGGCGACCTCAACCCATTTGGTAAAGTAGTCGGTTGCGACCACCAAGTACATGTTATTTCCTGCTCCCTTGGGCAAGATGCCGACTAGATCAATACCCCATCGAGCAAAGGGGATTGCCATGCTCATCAGGGTGTACGTAATTAGTTGCTGGTCGCCGTGGTACCTTCTGAAACTCCTTGCAGACCTTGCACTTACACACGTACTCTATGCAATCCATGATGATTGTAGGCCAGAAATACCCCTGCAAAGTTATCTTTCTAGACATCGTAAAAGCTCCTTGGTGTGCCGAGCATATCCCTTCGTCCCTCCTTAGAAATCTTAATTGTGTGCCATTTTACAATCGCTTATACAACCGACCGCACTCCAGCGTGTAGCTAGGTGCGTGTCGCTTAACGACTTTGGCTGCGACCGTATCGGTTGGTGAAAGGTAACCATGCAAAGATAGGCAGCGGAATATAAAAATTTTAACATCCTAACATGATTATCTTGCCCAGAATCACGTACTAAAACATATAATAGTAAAATATTTATACCTTTCTCCGTAAGCGGTAAAAACAAAGAAGCCGTAGGAAGAGCGTTGAAAGTGCAAACGTAACCGTTCAAGCGTCTGGTCTCCAACTTTGACACACGAACAATGCCGGAGTCTACCACAATCTTTATGCTAGTGAAGATTATAGTAGTATAAAATATAAAGATTAAAATTTGGGATAATAATAATCTTGTATATTTCTATAGAAAATATTTCTAATAATATTTAGAAAATATTATAGATATTTTTTATACACAAAATGATATTAATGGAACACTTAGAATAGCATTCATTCTCTCTCTAAAATATGGCCGAAATATTTTTTTCAAAGAGTGATGAAATACACAAAGTGACTTATGGCATGAATAATTTAAATAAAACAAAGATGTGATTAACTTTTGTAATTAGCTAAATGACAAAACTAATTAGCCCACATAAAAATCAATCAAAGAAAACTTTGATTCTCCTCAATCCCAAATGGCCGAAAGTTTGATTATAAAAACTGAGAGGGATTCTTGAAATTCTTCTCCACTTAAATGTTCAAAGTGTATTTTATTTGATATCAAAAATTAATATGAAATTAATTTTAAATCAAATAAAAATATCAATATCATTTTAAACAAGTACTACCTCCGTCCCATTGTTTTTGTCCACTTTTTACTTTTGGAACTGTTCATCGAAGCACTTTGACTCATCAAATTTTCTCAATGTGTAAGCCTAAAAATAGTCATGTGCGATCTTGTTTGATTCGTCTTAACATATAGAATATTAATATATAATTGTTTATAATTTTTTAATATACAAATTACAAGATAAAATGGATATTAAAGAAGTGCATTGGATGGTGTGCCAAAAGTTAAGTGGACAAAGACAATGGGACGGAGGGATTATAAAATATACTTTAATTAGTTTATGTCAAAATAATTATTTTCATAATTAAAATGACAAACCAAAATAAAATATTCAACATATAATATATTTATCTATATATTTCGGTGTTATCATATATATATATATATATATATATATATATATATATATATATATATATATATAATGGAGCGTCTGGTTTTGCTTCGTGAGAGAGAGCCGCCGATTGCTAAAATCTACGCCCAAACGCCGATCAATTATCCGGCAATTCACTCCCCTTCCTCGCTAAATCGACAGATTCAGACATTTCCTAGAGATACGTTGCTCAGAGAGTGGGATTTTCGATCTGGTGCTGCACTTGTAAAGGCAAAATCATATGTTGACACTCTTAAGGGTTACTCGGACGTCGCTCATCCACCGTCTTCTTCCCGGGAGACTATACCAACAATCCAGGAGACGGTCACTCAGGAAGCCCTCAACCCAAAGGCACCATCAGAGAACGATGGTAACTCGTTTCTTCCACCTCCTGTCAAAAACATAATCCCTATGGTTTTTAGCATTTTTGAGAAGGAATTCACTCTGTCTACATCTATTTATAATAAAAAGTTATGTATTTCCGAGTTTTTCAAAAGAAGGAAGCACTCAATTTGGCTTGGTTTGGATGCTGGTCATTGGCTTCTTAATACGTTGTCTAAATTCTTCTTGGATGGATCCATAGATTGTCCAGTCAAGATAGAACCTAAGCGATCCATCTTTCTTAGATTTAGACCTAGCCCTAAAGGATCTTTTCTTCAACTCATAGAAAGGAGACAAGATGGAAGGAGTATGATTTTCATCCCGGAAGGCCAACAGGGTAATGGTTTTACAACCTTTAAAGCTAGATTGGAGCTAGTCCTTAAACACCTTTCTAGGGCTATTCCCCCTCCTGAACCTTTCATAGACAGAGCTTTAGTTTGCGGTTTTTCAATTCCAACTCCCACTGATACATCCATGTACATTTCCTCCAATTTATTCAATTTGGAAGTTTGTTCTGTCATGGAACCAATCATAAGCCCATTATCAGTTCCCAATCCCCCCTTTGCAGTCTCTCATGCCTCAATCCCTGAAATGAATCCCTCTACATGCTCCCTCCTTTCTGCAAAAGCCAACGCATTTGTACCTAAAACACATATCACACAACATCAGGTTCCCAATGTAAGCCTAGTATCTCGCCAACCAGCTCTCACTTTCTTGGGTTGTTCAACATCGGATACTGAAAGAGATAACTCTTGGAACATCTCCAAAGCCTATGGATCTGATTATGAGCAGCAACATTGTTCACAGAAAGGACAACTTCCAATAGATGACACTTCTGAATGGGAGACTGAATCAGACGAAGAGGAGAGTAAAGGGGATTGGCATGCAAAAAAAGAGTCTGTCAAGAAAAGAAACCAAGCAAGATTTGAAAAGCTCATAAGCCACATTCAAGGAGGGGTCATAAACAAACCAAGAAGAAGTTAGAGACTCGCTCAACTAAGGAACGAACTCATTGATGAAAGAAACCTAGAGTCAATCAACTTGGGGTAATTGGCTACCATCAGACCAATTTAGTGATTCATGCTCTTCTCCAGGAATTATTTAACTCTGAATTTTTTAGTGTCTTAGTCTGCAATTTTTAAGTATTTGGTTCAATTTAATGATTCTTTTTCTTCCTTATGGTTCAACTGCAATCCTGTTCTAAAAAACTATATGTATTGGAAAGCCATATGCATCACAATCCAGCCCTGTAATTGAATGGGAGTTAGCATCCAGAGACTTGGACAGAATCTGTTACAGCCTAGAAGCCTTTGTCTGCACCTTTTGTACAGAAATGCAGCGAGCTAGTAATGATAAGGCATACTTGTGGGGTCTCGGTTTTAAGCATTGATTGGAGGGGTCTATGTAAGAACTTGATTTGGACTTACACATAAGGCCAAGGAGATTGTTTCTGCATTACAAGGCCAGCAGGATAGCCAAGAGAATTTTCTCCTTATGGGTTGCCATTGTCCTGCATAGCTTTTTTCTTCTTTTGGCATATAGTTGGTTGTTTGTAATCCTACATTTATGTTGTTTTTTTTTGGCGCTTCTGTTTGGGCCTTGCCAGCCCCCCCTTTTGTACCTTTTATTTTTCCTTATTAATAAAATATCTCTTTAATAAAATATATATATATATATATATGTATGTATGTATGTATGTATGTATAAACCGTATATATAATATATATTATACTCCGAAATATTTTATTTTACTATTTTACAAATATACAAATTACTTATTATCCCATTGTTTAATCCTACTCCTTATATTGTCCAAAGTGTGTGACCCGTATAGGCACTTATAAAGCTGGCCATAGTAATGGCTCTGCACCAATACTATAAGTAATAAGCGGTATTCAGAAACACATTATTGCCCCCAGATTATAAGTTAAGACGTTTGCACCGTCAAAACCTTTCCACGACTCAGACTCCGTGTAACTGTATCCCTTTGTCTCAATGTCTAAACTTAACGCAAGGGATTAATAAAATCCAACTTGTATCCATTAAGTCATTCACTGATTTATCAAGTCTGACTAATAGGAACAGACATCATAAAAACATCTTAGCATGGCCATGCAATTTCCTCAATCATAACTTTTCAGTGGGCCCCATAAGATATTAATCTCTTTTAAAAAGAGTAGTGACAAATCCTATGTACGTAATCTACGTTTCTGAATATGCGCTGCGGCATACCCAAAACAAAGCCTGTATACCATCCTTATTTCATATGGCTTAGGACAATGCATCAAAGTATGCGGGTTCACATATGCAGAAAACATAATACTTCAAGTCGAAGGATAGTTACACCCGTGGTCGCGCTAAAGATGCTTAGAGCATGAACTAAAAGTTCAAGCAACATCTTTAGGATGGGTCAGTCCGGCATCCTATTATCTCTAGATAA